GGGGGTGTTGATGATGAAGTTCGTTTTTCGTGAGTGAAGATGACCTTGACGTCACATTACTGGTATAGGTTCGTTTTTATAAGTTCTTATATAATAGGCATTTGAACAAACATGCACGTCTATAACAGTGGTCCATTCATCGACAAAATACTAAAACAAACGGGAAAGAAAGTAGAAAAAAAATGAAGCAAAACAACAACCAACATTGATGGCTAATTGCACCTACGGTGATCCACATGAGGCTTAAAGTGGAGGGGGGGGGCTACGGTGATACATGAGGCTTAAGTTGATTGTGTACGTGTTTTGTAATGTGTCATACCTTGCAGAGGGAGGGGGGAGGGGCTGAATACTCTTGGGTGATGATGAAAATCCAGTCAATGACATAGCGTGAGGGTAGCGTCTGCGGCCTTGTGGTTAGGCTACCGGACGTAATCGTGAGATTGTAGGTTCGGGGATTCGAGCTTGCGCTCGGTCCGACATTGTGTCCTTCGGAATGCACTTTACACTAATTTCCCATTTGGCTCGGTCCTTTCGGAGATGGACGCTAAACTCGGAAGTCCCGCTTCTTAAATGACCTAATAGTGTTTAAAGGGGTGTTAAACTTATACCATTTCACCATTTTCACTTATATCGTGACCTTTGTCTAGCACGTTGCCATAATAATGTTGTCTCCCCTGAACTGTGGAGAACAACTTTACACCACTATCAAAGTAGGCACAAAAACAACGCATATTGAGTGTCGTCCTCATTGTTTGTTAAAAGATATTTCAAGGAAAATTTACCTGTCCCCATGCAAGCATGAAACTACGATGTTATAAAAACACGGATGTTATGGCTGAATCCGTGTTTCCTGCTCTTGACAGGACAATTAATGTCCATAATTAATTACTGCTCCCCCCCCCCCAATCTCCCACACCAATCCTCCCATATCCCATTACATGTAGGCCTACTATTGTCTATAAGTTTTGATCGTGTTTTTTCCTGCTGTACTATGGAAAGGATGAGGGTGGTTTTGAGATTTGTGACTGGGCGAAATTTGGCGTAGATCTACATTTTTTTGTTCTGTTTTGTTCTTGTTTGTTGTTTTTTTTTGGGGGGGGG